TCTCCTTTGCAGGTTTCCTTGAAGAAATTTATCCCCCCCCCCCCTGTTTTTGCCTGGGAGTAGGTGAGAAGGAAATGCAACATTTCCTTTCCCTACCCAGCCACGTGTTTAATTGTTTTTTAAATGATGATAATAATAATAATAATAATAATAATAATAATAATAATAATAAACATTAGTCTCACCTTCAAACTAACTTGGAACTGGATCCAGAATGGGGCAGATGGTCCCTATGTTGGTCCAGGGTGGATAAACCCGATTGGGGACCCCCAGATTGGGGCCACAGGGCAGATAGGGTGGCTGTTCACAGCCTTCACACACACACACACACACACACACACACACAAACACACACAAACATAGGCCTACCAATTTGTTTTCAGCTAGCAGTGCAGAAATACAACCAAGCCCATGCAACCAGGTTTAAAGCTTTACAAAACTGATTATATATATATATATATATATATATATATATATATATATATACAGCACCCCTACCAGTTGCTCAGAAACTACACAGAAATCAAAAGCCCAGACAAAATAAGAATGGAATTGATAGGAAAGCATGGGACTCTGATGGGCTGGAGGGATGCAGCAGCTTGAGACGCCTCAGGGACTTGGGATTATCTGTATCTCTAAGCACTTGTTGGTGTTAGAACACAGAATTATATCGATAGATCAGGTTAAAGGTCCATATCATCTAGCATCCCGTTTCCAAAAATGGTCCTTGAGATGTCCCTGTGAGAACAGTGAGTGCAGCAGTTCCCTGCTATAGATGTCAGCATATGGGGTCTCTGAATGTGGATGTTCTTTGGAATATACCATTTGAAGCCCTAGCAGCTCCGCTTCCCCCTGCCATTAGAAAACGTAACAAGAATATTATCTGCCTTCGTTAAATTGTCATCCGGCCGGTGTACCAATTCACTCAGCACCTCGCACTTTCTTCTCTCAAATGCATGGCCTTTCTTCCATTACCAGCATCAAGATCCTGACAGCTCACCGTGAATCCGAAGATGCTTTGCATGATCAGAGTGCTAATTTTCAAGTCACTCTCTCTTCGTCTAACAGTAAGTTGGGGAGCATTATTTATTCAAATTGCTAACATGAAGGACCACCTAGGAGACTTGGAAATTTATTTCCTGGGGGGGGGGTGATCGATTGGGAGGAGCTGCAATTGTAGGAAGCAGCTGGCTCACAGAAGCATGCTATTTACTAAAGAGCAATCACAAATAACACCCAGCTTTAAAGTGGCATCATTATGTACATTGCGAGTGCAGTTTCCAGTACCCTTAAAATGCAATCTTTAAAAGTGATGTTTTTCTTCCCAGTGTTTTATTATCTCCGCTACTAGTCCTATCCTGCCACAACCCAGTTAAGTACCACTTCAACAACAACCACTGCAAAGAATGAAACCATTTGCTCATATGGCCTGGAAGGACCAGAAAGAAAGATTATATCATGAATTAGGATCAAACTATCAAAGATCCTTATACCCACTCCTTACCCAGTGAGCCAAATTTGACATGTGGCTGAGGCCCTGGCCCACTTTGGGCTTCTTTGCGACAAAGGGCAGGGTATTAATCCAAATAAATAAATAAATGACCACATGATATCACAATGATACCGGGTGACCCGTTGTTCTTTGCCCTCAGGGTCTTAAATCAAACAGCTTGGGCAAGGCCATGATAGACAAACCTGTCCATTTCAGTCTCTCTCTTTTTTCCACTCTGACGTTCAGTTCTCCCCATTCCCATATTATTATGTGATTTATTTTTTAAAAAGTGAATATTCACCAGCAATTTAGTGCAAATTCCTCCTAACAAACACAATTTTGCTAAGCAAATTTTCCTAATTTTCCTAATTATGGTCTGTTATTAGTAAGTTGCTAGCTACATTCCTTTTTTTCACTGGTCAACTATTTTAAAAGAATCTATGAGACAATTAACCTCAATTGAACAATTTTTATGGGTTCCTCAGGCTCCATGAAAAGGTCCAAACAATCTAATGGTATGTGGTAGGAGTGTGGATTCCAGAGCAGACAACGCTATAACCTGCACATTATTTTTGAAGCTGTAGATCAGGTGAGCTTGCTCCAGAATTCCAATGCCAATGACCCATCAACCAACGCACCCCATTTTGTCTTCTGACCTTGCTTCTATTTCTGGCCAGCTCTTCCTCTCTCTCTTCAACTGTCATCCTCAACACTCTACCCCTGTCATTCATTCTAACTCTATGCAACATTCCACCACCCTCCCCTTCTAACAACATTCCATCTGACAGCTTTTGGTTTGCAGTTATTACAATTTGTAGAATAATCATTATCTCTCAGGTAATACTTTAATCATTGGGAATATGCACATTGGGAATATGAGGGAAGACTTTTGGCCTGTGTACTGAAAATGAAAATGACAGTGGTCTGAACCCTCAAATACCTCCTGAAACTCACCTGAGCCCCCAAATATTTACTTATATACAGTGGTACCTCGTTCTTATCTGAAACTGTTCTTAACCTGAGGTACCACTTTAGCTAATAAGGCCTCCCGCTGCCGCTGCCACACAGTTTCTGTTCTCATCCTGAAACAAAGTTCTTAACCCGAGGTACTATGTCTGGTTTAGCGGAGTCTGTAACCTGAAGCAACTGTAACCCGAGGTACCACTGTATATATTTCACATTTTTCATAACATCAATTTTTCACGTCATTTTTACTGCTTCAATTTGACCCTCTGACTTCCTTCTGCCCCTCCATGAGTTTCTACTGTGATACAAATTGACTGCATATTGTACTTATAAACCAATACTTAATTAAATTGAAAAGAGAAACCTTTGATTAACATTTCCCATTACAAGCTCTTTACATTCCTGCCAGTAATTTTAAGTGTTTACAATGGTCATTTAAATAATTCAAACATTTGCTCCAGTCTTTTTCGAATACTTGATTTTCTCAGTTTCTGATCTTCCCTGTCATTTTCACCATCTCCGCATAGTCCATCAGTTTCACCTGCCGGTCTTCATTTGTTGGTAATTCTTCTTGCTTCCATTTCTGGGCTAATAATACTCTCGCTGCTGTCGTTGCATACATAAATAATTATTTATCTTTTCTCGGTAACTCTTCACCTATTATACCTAACAGGAAGGCTTCTGGTTTTGTTTTGTTTTTTAACAAATGTACTTTTAACCCTTTTTTAAAAAAGTCATTATAAATCATCTCCCAGAAAGCTTTTATCACATTCCCACCACATGGGGTGAAGAGTACCTTTCTTTTTTTTACATTTCCAGCCCTTTGTAAACTCCAGGCTTTAATGGTGTTTGATATACTTCACTTAACAGGGCTCCCCCTCCCCTCTTTTTTAAACCAGCCCAGATACAAATGTGTTTAAATTGACTTCCATTATTGGTTCATGTTTTGTTTCTGACTTCTTCATCGTACTCTGCATCGTGTAGAAATAATGAATCAGGGTTGGAGGAAGGTATTTTGCTGCCTGAGGTGGAGCAGCAAATGGTGCCTCTCACCAAGTCAAGGTGAAGAGTTTCCAAAGCTGGTCAGGTCATTATGGTAACTACAGCAGAAAATATCCCTTCATCCCTTGGTAATAAAAATCACAATAATAATATATTATATAATTAAGCACTTGCTGCCCTTATATGTCACTCAAAATCAGCTGCTTTGTGCACCTGCCTTGCTCTGGCTCTTGGTAGGTCCAGCTCTGTAATCGAGAATCTCCTGTTTAAAAATCAGACTGCTTATAGCTCATCAGGGGGGAAAAGTCTGACTTTGGTCTCCTCTCTGCTTTCCCTTTATTCATGACTAAGGATGGGGAAATTAATTTGGCCTGCTTTTTGCAGTGGAATGACCCAATCAGGTGCTCCTGAACTTGCTTGCAGATTGATGTTCAACTCCTAGTCAAGATTCGGCACTACTCTGTCTTTTGCTGTGCCGTTTCAGTGCACACACATATTAAAAAAATCATCCAAAATTCATCTTTTACACCAAAGATATGTATGAGATATGCATAATATGCATTGAAAAGAATGCAAAATGTGTCTTTTATGCAAAATGGTCACACGAAATATGTACAGTTTAAATGCAGACTATTGAATGTGTTCTTTCAAAAAATCCTCCAATTTGTAGGGGCTCTCCAAGTCTCACTTAAAAACATCTCTCACTACCATGTTACCCTTTTCTCTGTAAATTGAACCTGGGGCATTCTGTATGCAGAATATGTGGGCTACTACACTAACCTCTCCTCTCTACAGAACACTAACCTCTCCTCTAACCCTTTCAAATGCTCATTTAGTTCAAATTAACATGTAACATTTTCAGGTTCATTGTCTACTTTTCCTGCCTTTCGCTGGACTGTGGTCACGCCATACTTTTAAATCACACGGTTTCCCTTAATGAAACCTGGGGACTGTGGTATATCCACCACAGAGCTACAATTTCCAGCACCCTTAACAAAGTACAGTACCTGGGATTCAATGGGGGAAGCCAGGCTCTTTAAATGTATGATGTGGCTGTGCCTGACAACAAAATGTACTGAATAAGAGGGGCTTATTTAAATACAAATGGTACTTTTAGATCAGAAAAACAATGCAACATGGAACGTTTTCTTAAAAGCTAATGCTGTGAAGTTGTCCAAGGTTGCAAGTCCAAGTTTGCAAGCAATTGTCTTCTTCTCAAAAGGAGCATATATTGTTTCCTTTGCTGCCTGTTTTCATATGCTGGAACCCACCCCCTTTAACATTTGTGAAACCTCAGTTCACCATCGCAAGGTAAAATAGAATGATTAAAAAGTTGCCCCAAACATGTACATGCCCACAATTCTACAGTATAACTTTTCTGCTGGTGTCGGATGATTAATTTTCTGATGAAATGTATAAAAAGTGATTCAATCTATATAAGGTATTGATATATAAATACTTATAACCAATTACTCACACTATATTCCCCCAATGTTATCAATAAGTTAAAGACTCAGTAAACAGATGACTAAATATTTTGCTGGATTAGGTGGCCAGGATGAATTTTTTTCATTCTGTTTTTAATTACCCTTGGGAAACATTTCAGATGTGATCTTTTCCAAACTTTGATTAAGTAGTTTTTGTGGCATACATCTCTGGTAGATTGTCATTCAACATTGGTCAAATTTTGTATGATGGAAATAAATTATTTAGTTTGGCCCAAATAGGGTGGTCTTATCTTACCATGGGTGATGTTCTCCCACCCATTCAAGGTACAATGTCCAACATCCATTCATGATTTAGTGTTGTCAGCATCACAGGATAGTAACTTCTTCAGAAATTCTTCCCAATATGACCATGCAAGAGGTGATGTGATGACCTGGCTTCCAATCAAGGGCTAATATTTAGGCAATACCTTACGTTGTAGTGACCACAACTGAAAGTCAAATGTTAGGCTGATTTTCCCCCTTTCTCCTTTCTTGTTGTCTCTTTTATATCAGCCCTAGGTGGATGATTTCTATACAGGGGCAGCTGATCGTTTGCGTGGCTTTGGCAGCTTCTGGTTTGAGGAAGCCTGCTGTTCAGAGGGGCTAGGCATCCTTTTGGCAACTTCCACAGAAGCCTCTTCCTTCTTTTTGGTCTTCTTGATACCTGGGGTCATGGAGCCCTGTGACAAGGACTGCTCCAAGGCAGCTACCAGAACTTCACGGCTAATGGTGGATTCACTTTTTTCCTTCCTCAAGCGGTCTGCCTCAGCAGTTACTACTTTGCAAAGTCCTTCTACATAGGAACTCAGGTCCTCTCTAGCCTTTTTGGTTAATTGGCATTCCTTGTCTCTGCCGGGTCCCTTCTTTTGAGAGAGTTTCTTCACGTGTTTCGTGACTTCCTTAGTTCTTGTCTTTCTTGCTTGTTTGGCCTGTGGCTTCCCCTGTCTGGTTTGGTTTCTTTGGGTCTTTCTCTGGCAGGAGCATTGGTCCCTCCTGCTCTTTTTGATGACAGCACCCATGGCGCTTATGTTGTACTCAGCGCTTATGTTGTACTCAGCTCAGCCACCCAGCTGCAAGTGTAAATAGCCTCCCTCGAGCATTGCTCTTATATGGCCATAGGCATTTAAATGAAGGGCCCTCTCCAAGAACCTGATTGGCTGGCTGGAACAATGCTCTAATTGTTGCTTCATAGAGCACTATTGTGAGGGGGAATGGGGGCGGGGAGTCCAGGAAACATTTTGATTAACAGCCTATACGTGTGTGCATAGCATGTTCCTATTTATTTAATTAAAAACAAACATTTTTAGCAGACAACAACACCCTAAGTGGGCGGCAACAACAACAACAACAACAACAATTTTATTATTTATACCCGCCCACCTGACTGGGTTGCCCCAACATATATAAAAACATAATAAAACATTAAACATTAAAAAAACCTTACCGGTACAGTGGTACCTCTGTTTGTGAGTGCGATCCATTCCGGAGGCCCATTTGCAACATGGAAAGAGAGCAACCTGAAGCACCATATCTGCGCAAGTGCATGGCACAATTTGGCGCTTCTGCGCATGTGTGAGTGGCGAAACCCGGAAGTAACCCTTTCCGGTACTTCCGGGTCACTGTGGGACGTAACCTGAAATAACGTAACATGAAGCAAATGTAACATGAGGTATGACTGTATAGGGCTGACTTCAGGTGTCTTCTAAAAGTTAAATAGTTACTTATGTCCTTGACATCTGATATGAGGGCATTCCATAAGGGCGGGTGTCCTCTGCCTGGTTCCCTGTAATTTCACTTCTCTCAATGAGGGAAGTGCCAGAAGGCCCTCAGAGCTGGATCTCAGTGTCCGGGCTGAATGTCAGGAGTCAAGATGCTCCTTCAGTCTCACACAGGACAGAAACACTTGGCATATAAGAAAGCATTACAAGATCTGGATAAAATTACAGGTCTGATTAAAAAAGGACTCCTAAAATTTAGGTAGCATTTTGTTGGATGGTGAATATCACCACATCTAATTTTCAGGATAATTTCAGAGAAATAATAGTTTGGATAATAGTAAAACAAATAACAATAAATAATGATAAGAATAATGTTGATTCATGTCAAACCCATGGAATCCTCTAATATACAAGCATTAATTGGGTTAGATCAGGCTTCCTCAACCTCAGCCCTCCAGATGTTTTGAGACTACAATTCCCATCATCCCTGACCACTGGTCCTGCTAGCTAGGGATCATGGGAGTTGTAGGCCAAAAACATCTGGAGGGCCGAGGTTGAGGAAGCCTGGGTTAGATCCACTGCTGCACCCAAAATCCTGCCTTTGCTGCTTGTTACCCTGTCCCCAAGGGTAAAAAAGAAATCATCTGGGAGGTAGGGTGGGGTAGCAGGTGTGCAAAATGCAGAAATGCAGTAGCATTGTGTACAAAATGCTGAGCACATGGCCATAATATGAGACCAGCACTCCCACCTCTGTTTGAGATCATGGTAGTTGTAAGAAAATAAATGGAAATAACTTTAAGGAGAAATAAAAGATGTGCATATGATTGCAAACCTATGAGAAAATATATGTTGACCGCAATGTCCATATTCAGCTTTCAAAGTTTATAGAATAAACTCAGGTAAAGGTGGGGAAATAACGTATTTTTAAAAATAAGTGGCAGAAACTCACATGCAGTTACAAAAGCATAAAAATGTTTTCTCATAACACAAAGAAAAGGTGTGAGCATTAATCAAAAGCATAGATAAGGGAGGGAAAGGAAGGTTCAATCGAAGTCAAATTCACTAACCGTCCAAAATATAAAGACTTAAAGGTGAGTGAAAATAAAGAAGTCTCAGAAGAAAATCATGAATGTTTCAAACATTGACCAAAGAAATGTTTGAAACTAAACTGTCAAAGCGACAAAAAGAGAGTGAGGAATCAAAAAAGTTGTTAACAGTAAAATGAAGGACAGCTGAAGGAAAACTATAGATAATGAATGAGATGGGGAAGATTCACAAGCATCTGGAAAATTCTTAAAGCATTAAAGGATGGGGGAGCCTCTTTCAGCCTGAGGGCCTCTTTGCCTTCTAGGCAACCTCTCAGGGGCCACGTGCAAGTGGTGGGTAGGGCTAGAGGCAAATGTGGGTGGAGCAACAAATCAAAAATTTGTACAGTGGGCAACTTTTTACACACCCTTCTCTGTCCTCCATCTGGGCAAAAAGACTCAAGGAAATTGGGAGCAGGGCATGTATTCAGGGGCAGAGGAAGGGGGTGCGGTGGGTGTGGTCAGACCCAGGTGTCACCACTGAGGGGGGTGACAAAATGCCAAACGGCACTCACCACGGGGCCTGCAGCGTGCCCAAGCCATGTGTCTCACCTGAGAGAGAGGTGGTGGCTTGGGTGCCTGCAGGCTCCACGCTGCCCAAACGGTCCGCCTGCTGCCTCCCCCCACAGCTGTAGGGTGGCTCAGTGGGAGGAGGCAGGCAGACTCCGGAGGCCACTATGGGCAGCTCGCCCTGCCCCTGGGTGTGCCGCCTCAGGTGCCTGAGCGGCTTCCTCCATCGTTGCACGTATTATGTTTGGCTTGGGGAGAGACTGTGGCCTGGATGGAGTCTTGAGGCTTCAGTTAGAGAGGCTTGGACAGCCCTATTTGGCCCATGAGCCCAAACTTCCCAACCCCTGTATTTTTAGAAAAGGTTTTCACATACAAAAAAAATTAAAAATCAAATCAATAATAAAAAAAAGCTAAGTGGGAATATTAAGGACAGCGGGAGAGGGAGGGTGTTCAGTTCAACTCACATTACGTGACACGTATCAAATGTTTGGGAGGAAATAAAAATCTAAGGAAGAAAAGGCAGGAATCGAGACAATTCCAACAAGAAAGAAAAGTGGGGGGCATTTAAAGAAACCGGTGTGGCTGCATGAGGAGCTTACAGATGAGCTGAGATGTTAAGAAGGGGATGTATAAGAAATGGAAGAACCGAGAAATCACAAAGGAAGAGTACACACAAGGCGTCAACAGTTGCAGGGAGCATTAAGTATCAACCATTTGTCCTCCTTGGCTGGATGTGTGCAGGACAAGATACTACTGTTTGGTGCATTCCCACCTCAAAGCAGCTTCCATCAGATTTGAGCATCTAACCAACAGTTAAGCTGCAGTGTGTAATGTTCAGGGCAACCTTTGCACATGTGCCGATTACAGATTCCTTGGGAGGTGCAGATGCAAGGAAACAAATCAAGTACCTTGGTTCTCGAAGGCCTGGCGACTCGAATGTTTTGGCTCCCAAACGCTGCAAACCCGGAAATGAGTGTTGCGGTTTGTGAATGTTCTTTGGCAGCCGAACGTCTGACGGCTTATGATTGAGTGCAGGAAGCTCCCGTAGCCAATCAGAAGTCGTGCCTTAGTTTTTGAACGTTTTCGGAAGTCAAACGGACTTGCGGAACGGATTCTGCTTGAGAACCAAGGTATGACTATAATGTGTATCTGGTGAAGACATCCTCAGCCCCTCTCTGGTCTGTAAAGGTAAAGGGACCCCTGACCATTAGGTCCAGTCGTGACCGACTCTGGAGTTGCGGCGCTCATCTCGCTTTATTGGCCGAGGGAGCCAGCGTACAGCTTCCGGGTCATGTGGCCAGCATGACTAAGCCGCTTCTGGCAAACCAGAGTAGCGCACGGAAACACCGTTTACCTTCCCGCTGGAGCGATACCTATTTATCTACTTGAACTTTGAGGTGCTTTTGAACTGCTAGGTTGGCAGGAGCAGGGACCGAGCAATGGGCGCTCACCCCGTCGCGGGGATTCGAACTGCCGACCTTCTGATTGGCAAGTCCTAGGCTCTGTGGTTTAACCCACAGCACCACCTGCGTCCCTTTGGTCTCTGGTCTGTACAGCAGTGTAAAAATGGTGGCATGAAATGCAGTGGAGCAAAGCAATCTTAAGCTGCTAATGTGTACCAAGCCTCAATATGGATGCTTATAGCTGGGAAGTGAACAACTGTAGAGAGTTATGACAGCTGGGCACCTCTAAACAGGCTGGATTAAATGAAATATCTTTGTGGCATCAAAACTTCTCTACAGTATGACAATATCAAACTTGTTCCCACAATTTATCCATTTGTCATTTTTCATAATTATAGCCTTAATACATTTTTGTTTGTTTTTAATTTAAAAAAAGACCACTGTTTAGGAAAGCTGAGATGAAAGTCAAATGTGGTAACATTTTTCTTTCACTTTGTTCATAAGGCCTCTGGAAAATAATGAGATTTATTCTGAGAATTAGTTTATAATTGTGCTTTAACTGCACTGTGACATTTAATAATGTCAGAAGGATTTTGCTTTAGGCCAAATGATTTCAGTCACTCTAGAAAATTAATTACTGCTTTCTGAATAAACCATGGGTGTGTCCCCCCCCAGTGAGCTAAGCAAGATTTTCAAGGTTAAGCTGAAACACTGACAAAATGTTTAAATGAAGAATAAATTTAGAGATTGAGAAATGGAATATTCATTTAACTACAATGTTAGAAAACAAACAGACTGTGTTAGGCAATGACCACATGGCAACATTTATTATCAATGATTACTTGTGTTTGTGTAATAAGTTATTTTCCCCTCATTTTTTTTCATGTAAAGAAACTTTTAGCAACTTGAACGATAAGACTGGAATCTGAATGGGCTTTTTAAAGGCTTCAATAAAAATGCAGAAGGAGGTACAATCCGTGTAATAATTCACCACCTGCAAAATTTGCCTCCCACATCAGTGAAAATACAGGGAAAGGGTCCTGCAAAAATGTTCTCCCATTCAGAGTGAGGGTTGAAAACACCATTCTGCCTCTGAGCTGCCTTTGTGATGTCACCATGCAGCCAAATTTGATTGGTCACAGAATGCCATGATGCCTTTATGCTGTCTGCGTTTTCCTTGAATGGCTTTGATTATGTACCTGTGAAAACATCTATTAAGGTCTACTTCAATTTATTACCATAACTTACTGTGTTATGGTTATAATTAAGAAGTACTACCAGCTTTGGGGGGACGTGGGTGGCGCTGTGGGTTAAACCACAGAGCCTAGGACTTGCTGTTCAGAAGGTCGGAGGTTCGAATCCCCACGATGGGGTGAGTTGATTGGTCCCTGCTCTTGCCAACTAGCAGTTCGAAAGCACATCAAAGTGCAAGTAGATAAATAGGTACCACTCTGGCGGGAAGGTAAACGGCATTTCCGTGCACTGCTCTGGTTCGCCAGAAGCGGCTTAGTCATGCTGGTCACATGACCCGGAAGCTTTATGCCTGCTCCCTCGGCCAATAAATTGAGATGAGCGCCACAACCCCAGAGTCGGCCATGACTGGACCTAATGGTCAGGGGTCCTTTTACCTTTACCTTTACCAGCTTTGGAGTGGGCCAAATTTCCAGGTACTGCATTCTCCAATTCAAGCCAAGGAATTGAATAGTTTGTGGTGATGGCAACTTCTTTTCCCCTTCCACATTGTCAAGGCCTTCTCCTGCATCAAGCAAAACTAATGCATAGTAGAGGTGAGGAACTGTTCTCCTCTTCTCCTCATGGCCCAAGCTTGATAGGTGAGCAAGGACACACCAGTGAGGAAGTTAGACAAGAACTTTACTGTCTCTCTTAAGAAGAGAACAGAAATACAATGCTCTTGATACAATTAATGTCAGTGCCAGCTAGCGACTAATTTGTATAATGACACTATCCCTGCACAAATGATTGGCAGGATCATCAGAAGGATCCTTCCATTCCCCTGTGTTAAATTCTATCACCAAGCACCAACAGACTCCCAAACCATCAAGGGCAACATTTTAAAAACAATCAGGCAACACTGGCTGTATATTTCCCCTCTAACCCTCTATCTTTCCTGGGTTGCGTTGGAATTGAGTTAATAAGCTGTTGCAGTGAAGATGCTGCTCTAATGAAGAACGAACAAAACATAGTCCTTTCCAGTGGCAATTACTTCATGACATGCCAGTGTTAATAATTTTTGAACAGCTGGCACCCAAACACTGCAGAATAATCAGCTTAGTTGTTGCCTAAGTAATTCATTCAATCCTGACTGATTCATATTTTGTTTCAGGATGTAAATGCTGAATAAACAGCTCTTATGCTAATGCATCGCCTGCTCTGATAACATGACATCCTACATCAGTTTTCAAGGACCACCTGAAGTCATGCAAATAAATTATTTGGCCTTAATGAAGACAACTAAGAAAAAAGAAAGAAAAAGAAGAGTGAAAACAAAGCATGTTTTTCCCCAGTAAATAAATGTTATTTTAATCTATTTCTGAAACATCAAAAGCATGCTTGATGCTATACAAATACAGTGCTAAATATCACTTTTGTTGCCTAAGGGCCAAATAAGATGAGATGCTGGAAGCTGGTGACTGGATCTCTCAATTTCTCCTCTTTAAAGCTTCTTTTTAAAGTGTGGAAAGTGGGACTCCTACTATGATAAGAGCACCACGTGTGAGGAATTGGGTGTTTTCTTCTTCTCCTTCTCCATGCTGTTTTCCAATAGAAATAAAGCTGCTATGAGCACAGGAAGTAGTTTGGGAGAACATGATATAGCCCTATGCAGGTTGAACCTTTGGTGCCTTACCTCTTGAACTTGCCTATCCATTGATATAGGCATCAACTGTACTATACATATAAAGCAGTATCCTACCACTTATTTATTTATTTTTTAAAAAACCATGGCTTTCTCTGTAGAATCCTGAGAAGCATGGATCTTTAAAGGTCCTTAGAGTTCTTAGGAGACCCCACCCCACCCCACTCCTAGAGCAAGGCTTTTATCACATGCAACCAAGCAGAAAGCCAGGCAGACACAGAGAAGGTCCCTTGGAGCTGGCCGTAGATAGAGGGATGGGCCTGACACAGAGGGCCAGGGAGTAAAGGGAGAGCTACAAGCCAGTCCAGACAACTGTTTCATTGAGACAAGAGCAACCTTTAGAAGTCTCTGTGTTCTTTGTCCTGCTTTCCTTAATAAAGAAACTAACTGTAAGTTAGCCAGTGTTTCTCTCTCTTTTTCTGACCTGGGAATGACCTGCTCTCCCTGCCAGCAAATCTGTTTGGGTCAGATGAGCAAACCTGGGCTCCAGGTTATGGGTGCTCAGTCACGACATGACGTGTACTCCCCAGGCCTGGGACCTGACTTCCAGTGGCACTGGAAGTCAGGTTTTGAGGTGTTGCGAGGTCTCAGAGATGCTGTCTGAGGCCTTGTGAGACCTCTGAAGTTGCGTCGGGGGCCCTGTGGTGTGGGTGCCGAACACCCACAACAAAAATTTTGTAGGGGCTCAGGCACCCAAATCCCCCTATATTTGGTGCCCCTGGTTTGGGTTTTGAGTCAGTGAAGTTAAGGGGAAAGGAAGATAAAGGGGTGCACTGTGGGAAGAGGAAGAGGATAAAATGTATACCTTCTCAGGATATTTTAAAGATGACTACATTGGTGGTGGGGTGGGAGACCTCAGGCCCAGGGTCTAAATGGGCCCTCTCTAGCCGTCTTCCAGGACTCGCCCCAGACCACAACTTTCCCAAGGCCACATCCTCAAAGACCCTGATCTGCAAGCCTCCTCAAGTGCACTTGATCTGCGACAATGCCTCTTGCTTTTCTGATGGAGGGAAGTTGTGTGGGTGATTTCTGTGTAGCTGGAATATAGCCTCCTATAGAAAGACAAGAGTCACATTCATTCCTCCACCCACTTTTGCCTGTTGCCTCACCTACCATTGACATGCAACCCCTGGAAAGTTGCGGATGAGGGAGGTTGCACATGAAGGAATATGACTTGTGGAATGAAAAGGCTTGCCCAACCCAGACTTACACAATACCTGTGAAGTTAGCTGAATGTTTAGAAAACTACAGAAACGCTAACTCTTTGCTAGATACACTCAAAAGTAGCTTGCAATGCCTTTTATGGACTTGGGCATGTCCTCTTCCCTGACTTTCAGCAGGACATGTGTGCTAGAAGCACTTAGTTGCTTCTGCAACATCCACACTTCTGGGTTGATTCCAATTAGTTTTTGTCCCCCACATCTAACTTACAGCTGTCAATGAACAGTGAATAGAATCTTTCATCCATACGCCTAAGCTTTACAAAACAGTCATTTAGATCCATAGAGCTTCAAATCATGACACAGGAAGAGTACCATCCATCCTAAAAGGCTCTTTCAACTTTAATCAAATTGAACAAAGTAATGTTTTGGAACTTGGGGAAAATATATTCTGAATCTAATAAATATCTGCACCCATTCTGCCCAGAAGCACAACTGTAAGCCACAATGTATTATCCCATTAATTACTTATAAAATCTCGTTATAGTAGCTTGGGTGCATTTCAGAAATATTAATAGATGTGCTATTCCATTTCCAACACCTCTCTTAGTTAGGAAGTATGAGCCACACTTGACAGAGCAGACATTGAGATGCAGCGATGTCATTCAGAAGGCAACAAATATTATGTATTTATTATGTAGCACCTTGAGTGTGTCCATGGTGCTTTATGGAGCACATGAGCACTGGTCCCTGCCCTGGGGAGCTTACAAGCTAAAGTTCAGCTCAGGGACATCAGAGAAATGGGAGGGGGGAAAGGAGAAGCAAAGCAGTACACAGGGAAAAGATATGCATTGTATTATGGATTTAGGCATGGAGACAGATAGGCATGTCAGAGAATTCCCACAAAAGTGGAAATAGGAACAGGAATTGCCAATGTTTGCTTCTTTGTTCTATGTCCAGAACAGAAATCAATCCAGCAAATATGATGGGTATTCTCTATCACTGCTGCTTTCAGTCAAAAAATGTTATGATTTCCCACTCCCCCCAGTTTCCATTGTGTTTCATTTGCACTGAAATGAATTGAGTGGAATGATGTAATGACAATGTAATTACATAATTTGCATAATTAATTACATAGGTTATGCAGTTTTGCCACAGCAGGCAGCAAGATGAACCATAACATTGTTTGTGGATGCGTGGAAGACAAACCACAGAGGAATTAGAACAGTGTTGCATGCAATAAGCACAGGGAGGCACAGAAAATGTCGCCTTCTTACATCCTGAGCTACAAGTAGGAATGGATGGGTCTGTCCCTGCCTGTTCCATCCTGTTTCCACATGTTGCTGCCTTAAAACATGTCTAACCCCATCTCTGCAGATTTAAAAAATAAATAAATCTGGGGAAATCCCAGGAGAAGAAGAAATGACTATAAAAATCACACATACAAAAATTTAAGAGTATTCATGAGGTGCACGGAGCCCTGTTCTGCCTCTCCCCACCCCTGCTTTGAACAGTGAAAGCTGCTTGGAGCAGCTTCAAAGGGTGGCACCTCTGCTGAGCTGGGTTAATTTTTTTTTTAAAAAAATGTTTTTCAAGACAATCCCCACACCATGAATTTGTTGTTGTTGCTGTTTAGTCGTTTAGTCGTGTCCGACTCTTCATGACCCCATGGACCAGAGCACGCCAGGCACTCCTGTCTTCCACTGCCTCCCGCAGTTTGGTCAAACTCATGCTGGTAGCTTCGAGAACACTATCCAACCATCTTGTCCTCTGTCATCCCCTTCTCCTTGTGCCCTCCATCTTTCCCAACATCAGGGTCTTTTCCAGGGAGTCTTCTCTTCTCATGAGGTGGCCAAAGTATTGGAGCCTCAGCTTCACGATCTGTCCTTCCAGTGAGCACTCAGGCTGTTGCGGTGAGACCTGGAGACTGACCTCTTGTGTTGTGGGAGGGTAAGATTAGTCAGCCACAACACCCGATTGGTAGGTCCCTCAATGTTGGGTTTAATCTGGCCAATGGGGCACAGTCCAAATGGATTGAGGGACCTATATATACCCATGCATGTGACCCAGAGCTTCCTCTTTTGACTCGTGCATTCGGAACACCCTACTTTTAGGGCAATTTTTGCGAATGACCTTGTTATGCAGTCATGTGCCATCTGTTGTTGGGACAGGGGCACAGCAGGAATTTCCCCCACTTGGCTGATTGGCTGTTGCCATTTGGGTTTCGCCTGCCACGTAGCAAATCGTCACAACTTGTAGGGTTGCGGATAGGCTCTGGTTCAGGTGATAGGGATGGGAGAATGCTCTTGCCATCCCTATGTGAAGGGTATTCTGTTAAAGGAATCCAGGGACTCAACTGGTTTGGTCAACCCCCGAGAGGGCGTTGTGCCTGTGCCTGAGTCCAGGGGAGCATCTGGGGGGTAAACATAGTCTGTTCCCGGCTTTTTGGCTACCCAGGTATTCACCCTAGGCTGACCTATGCTGGTGCCCTGGGTCAGCGCTGCCTGCAAGGGTGCAGGGAGCTAGTCGAACCAGAGCCTATACAACCACTCACTTTGTGTAATCAGTAAAGTTGTGGCTTAAATTCTGCCAAAAACCAAAACTAAAATTTGAGTCAAATGTGTCTTTATTTAGGGGGGAGGTCTCTGGGTCTGAACATGCAATGACGTTTTAATTTGTATAGGAGGTGCAAATTAGGTCAGTTTGGTCAAAAATGCTGACAGAACATAAGTCTCTTCCTTTCCTGGTTTTTATATATACTAAGGAGAAATGAGATACCTTCCCCCCTAGTTTTTCGCTCCCTTCAGCTATTTGACCTTATACATTAATTTTTTTTAAAAAAAATGAGGCTCAAGTGTGACAAGGAAGTGTTCTCTCTGGATTACATACATGTGGTGAAACATATCAGAGCTTTAGACTAGGGGTCACCAACTTTTTCGGGCTAATGGGCAGCACATTTCGGATTTTGAGAATGTGCCGTGTGTAGCACAACACAAAATGGTTTCCTTGGGGGTTTGGCATAACACAAAATGGCTGCCATAGGAGCATGGCATAATGGCTTCAGTATAGGAGGGCCTGAGCCAGTGCTTACGAAAAGTGAGCAGGAAGAACAACCTCTCATGCCTTGTGGGTTTCTGAGGGAATATTCAGTGAGACCTTTCATTGGCATCATAGCAGGTACTGGCAGGTACATTGGTGCTCTGTGACTGAGGTATTTTGCCTGATATTTTTGTCGAGGCAAAGCTATCAGTAAAAACACCTCAGCGACTGGACAGCTGGAGTATTTTGCTAGAAGCTCTGTTACAAACAAAAGACCCTTGCTTTCAGCACGCAATAAGATGCCGCTATAAATATAATAGCATTAAGGGGTCAATTGTCTTAATTTGAGCCTTGCTTCATAGCATGGCAGGAACACCGTATTCTTTTTAAGTAGTCCTA